ACATACCACAAATTTCCTTTGTAATTACATATCTAACATCTAAACTTTGCTCTTTACATTTATACCACACAAATCTTTCACATCATATCAAAAATACCACTATTTTCTTTTTAAATACTGAAAAACACCTTTTTCATGCAGGGGAAAGGTGGCATATATGTAAGATATGTAAATACACGGGAGAGTGGCAGGTATGTAAATCTTCCAATCTTAGGGGCATTTGCATTCACACCACAATTCTTATATATTTACATATCTTGCACCCAACTTTTCACATTTACATACATAACACTCAAATGTTTGACATCACATCAAAACTACCACTTTCATTATTTTTTTATGCATGAGATTTTAATACCAAGGTGTTATAAATGTACATATCAAACTTTATTTAGCTATGTAAATGCATAAGAATTGTGTGGTATTCCCAAAGAACTGTGGTAAATATAGCCTGCATAGAACACTTTTGCAACTCAGAAATAAAGCAAAAGCATCTTTGCCTTAAAGAGTGTTTTCATTATCGATACAATGCTTTTGGGTGAGCTGAGGATGCCTTGCACTTATATCCTTCTAAAGCGTGAGCTTGAATGTCAGAATCAATATCAAAATATAATGGGAAATTTACATATATACCGCTGAATTCTTATGCATTTACTATCTAGCACCTACATTTCAATTTTTAAATACATGCCACCTTTGCTTATTCATGAAAATGTATATATTTCATTTTTAGAAGCTAAAAAATGTGATACTTTTTATGTGATGTGAAAGATTTGGTGTTATAACTTTAAATGTAAATAAAAGTAAAAATCAGGCGTTAGATATATAAAGACATGGGAATTGGGTGGTATGTATATAAATGCCCCAAATATTATCTATGCCAGTAATCCTCACATCTAGTTCCAGTTCATAAATGAATTCATTAACAAAATTTCAAAACTGACATCATGAGATGAAACTATAGAAAACAAGAAATCAAGTAACAAAGAGCATGAACTCAATTTAGATTAAAAATTTCAATTCATTCAAACTCATAAAGACAAACGCTCCCAAAGTAGGGCGAAAAGGAAAGAGAAAGATCTATACAAGTCATATATGCATCATGATGCTAAAGAAAATATAACTATGTAAGAGAATGAAAATTCAATGAGTGAAGGTGCAGTCAAGGTACTTGCAGCATATTGGCTATATTCCCAATTAGGGGTGTTAGTCAGCCAAGTTTACTCATGAGTGGGCTCGTTATAAAAAAAATAATATAAAATATATTCAAAATATATTAAATTTTAATATTTTGTTTTTGAATTATTAAAAATATTTCAAAAATGATAATGTATATTTTATATCAAGATATTTCTAATTATTTATCTACTAAATGCTAATTCGATTTGTCATATTATTAAAAAATCAGCTTAAATTAATATTGTTTTTTAAAATAAATAAACAGGCTCATGAGGAGGCTTGAACTCATACAGTTAAGCTCGAGCTAGAGCTCGTTTAATTAATTTAACTCAGGCTCGAGCTAGACACAATTCCTTTACACCCCTATTCTCGACAGAGGCCATAATATTGGTCCAACAAACACAATAACCGAGGCTCATGTCCTTTCAAAAAGGTACAACTTATGTATTTCTACCACACGCCATGAATGTTGTGGTTTTTTTTAAGCCATGAATGTAAGCAAATATCATCAAATTATTTAAATCATTGTGTTATCCATTTTTAACTCATGCATGTTCTTTCTTATCTTTTTTTTTTTATTTATTTATATTTCTTGTTTTCATTGCTAGTCATTACTTTCGTGCAAGCAGTTTTTCCTAACATTTGGTATTAATTTTAAGCTCACGAGATTTATGGGGAAAATGGGAGCGGGGGCAATGACGCTCACAAATGGGACAAAGAAACTTGGCAAGTTCCATGGCAAGAATTTTAAGCAATAAAAAAAAAATGCAAATCAAGTATTGCATGTAGCAAAATGAGTTACATCTACCTCTCTCGATTCAAAGCGTGCATATATAATCCAAACTACAGTTACACACTTTGACAATTTGTCAAAATAACACAATTGGAAAGATGAAAGATTAACTAGCCATGTAAAAGCCTTCAATGGTATATAAAGAATAATTAATGAGAAAGCTTTTCAATTCTCATAATGAGTGAAGGCACTTTCAAATAAATTCAATATGATCACAAGTTAGCACGGCAAGTTCATTCCCCGAGATTACTATTCATCACTTTCAGAGAGTTAGTGGCAGCTGCAAGTTTTTGTAAAAGGGGTTGTAAATCTATTATGGAAAAGGCAACTTTTTTAAAAGATTTTGTATGTATTCTAAATATCTTTTTAATAAAAAAATCAAATGGCAGTTTCTTGCAGCTACTAAACTTTGGCAGGTTTGGTTGTAAAAATAGTTTCACGTCATAAAAATTTCTAGAGAAAAGTAACAACAACAACAAAGCCTTAATCCCACTACATGAGGTCGGCTACATGAATCTTTTTTCTCCATTGCGTCCTATTTAGTGTCATATTTTCATTTAGTTCTATTAAAAGAAGAAAAAAACATTGCCAAATGCAGTAGTGATGGAGATCTGAAAAACAATGCAGTGAAAAAAATTGCCCCGGATAGACCTGAATCTTCCTATCTTCCTGGTATTTGTTGCACAAATAGATGAAACATTTTTATGGCCTCGATAGTGTAATGTGCAAATAGCCAAAAACCATCACCATTCTTAACCATCTTCTATCTATTTCCATGTAGAAATGGTTTATGGGAGTTTTATCAACAACATTGGTTCCTAATTTCCTCTTCGATATGCGCAATTAACCAAATAATGTCTTAATAAATGTAAAGCAAATTGAAACAAGCCCACAGACAAATAGTTTCTGGTATAAAATGCCATTAGCACGAATATTTAAAAATAAAAAAACCCATTCAAAATAAAATATTAAAAAAAAAGATGAAAAAAAAAACTTTCAGAACCAAAAGCATGTCCAAAACTTTTCTTGACCATGTTAACAGCTAACCATATTAAGCATCAGTTGTTAATGTAGCAGTTTAATTGGAGAGACAAATGATATTTCAGAGGTATATATGGTTATTAATTATTCCATTAATATGCTTATTGACTGAGGCTAGTCCTCTGGATGCAATCCATGTTTGATTTTTAATTAGACCTCGTGGCACATGATTCTTATACTATCCATGGTAGACTTATGATAAGACATTGCGTTGCATGATTCTTATACTATCCATTCCTTTAAGAGTCGACCAGAACCAATTCAAAACTTGAACAACTGAACCAAAATGATACCATTTTTTTTTCTTTTTTTTTTTGCTAATCATGAGTTACTGAGAAACTGGCAGAAATCAATTTCACAGCTAATTATGGACTAAAACTTTAGCCCGCTAATTGCATTTCGGAGCAACAGAAATAAAAACAGAAACAAAACCATCAATCAGGAACAAAAAATAAGGTATTAATTAAAAAAACAAAGATTTTCACGCAAATCATTCAATTCCTATGTATTTATATATCTAATACCCAAACTTCATTTTTTACGTACAGACCACCTTAACAATGCATGAAAAAGGTGAATTTCACTTTTTAAAAGTTAAAATAAGATTTGGATGGTATAAATGTAAACAAGTAAAGTATAGGTATTAAACATGTAAATACATAGGAATTGAGTGATATGACGTAAATGCCCCTAAAACAATGTCAAAATTCTAATGCAGACTTAAGTCCCTGTAAATTAATTACCCAAGCTAACTAAGCATTTTGTTCAATATCCCAAAGAATATTTAAATAAATAACAATATTTCTAAATGATATAACTATCTCGCTGGGAATGCACAAGTTTATAAGCAATTCTTTTATGGTTAAGCAAACTGTTAACCATTTACATGCGCCACAAAAGCATTAACAAAAATAATACCTTCAATTATGTAAATGCTTTGATTCAGTGATCAGTATGTAATGTTTGAATATTTTGCACTTAAAGAAAATCAAATTCAAGCAAACAACGAAAAGAAGCAGTACACAAAAATCCAATTGTCCTGAGCTCACATAGAAAGTTTTTAGAGGCATTTAAATACATAGAACACTTGTGTATTTTACATATCTAACAGCTAAACATTCATATTTAGGAGCATGTCATTCAAATCTTTAACATCACATAAAAAATGCCACTATCAGTGTCTTTTTAAAAGTGAAATATACCCTTTTGTATAGATTTATGATACTAAGATGTTATAAACGTAAATATCAAAATTTGGGTGTTTGATGCATGAATATTTGAGAATTGTGCGGTAAGTATGTAAATTTCCCAATTTTTTAAGGCAAAGAAATAAGCTCACCATAGCAAAAAATTTTAACCGCATCAATGACCAATAACTACATTGCAATGACATAATAACAAGCCTATTTGATAGCATAATTCGTTACACGCACTGGCCATCGGATCACTCTTATTACTTTTATTTTTCATTTCTCACATATGTTTATTAAAGCAAATAATACCCCTTTTTAATGAAAGACTAAATATTAACCATCATGAATTAGCAATTAAACAACCGAGATATGAATTATTAATTATTAATTACTAAACATCATGAATTAGCAAACTTAAAACCAAGATATTAATCTTGGAAAGTCTCAGCAGCATCATCTTACTACAATAACTTTTTCAAGTTTGCTTAGTAATTTCTCCTTTATCATTAAATGCAAAAAAAAAAACGACATCATATATGAATAGTTTACCATAATAAACAGTAAAGAAATAAATAGCACCTTGTCACGCTTCTTCCCACCAACCTCAATTCCAAAATACGATTAATATTGATAATATTTAAAATTCTATCCACTTTAAGTTGCATCTTCAGGATCCACCACCTTCAACCTTCCTACTTTCAGCATAAAAAGATTATTCAATAAAAAATTCTATTTTTTCATCTTTAAGTGATCTTCCATGAAGCAGAACAGTTATTTTCATTCGTCTTGTTTTTGCTTAATAACCTCACACAGGTTATCACTTCTTCCTCTTAAAAATAAGCTCAAAAGAGATACTTTGCTGAGAAATTCTAATCTTCAATCTGAATGTATTCCAATCCAACTTGAAAATATAATGAGCATGGATTAGCTTCTAAAAATGGTAGATGAAAAAATTTCTGCTAATAACGTAGGGGGAAATCTAAGGCTAACCAGCCATATTGAGAGATTCCAGAAGTGGCCTGAATGTTCCCCATTATATGAAGCATATATATTGGCATTAAAAATATATACATTTAATTTGGAATATAGAACTCAAGTGAAAAACTATAGTATAATTTTGACAAAAATTATGCGGTCTCAAAAGTATGCCAGCTTCTACAATATCCACAAGGCTGTTTATATGGGAAAAGTTCATTTACTTTAGGGAAATTTACATACATACCACACAATTCTCATGTATTTACATATCTAGCACCAAAACTTCCCTATTTACATTTATAACAATTTTGCGTAATAAGCCTATGCATGGAAATGTGTATATATCTTTTAAAAAGTATGTGATAGTGATATTTTTTATGTCATATTAAATATTTGGCTGCTATGCACTTAAATATTCAAATTTGGGTGTTAGATATGTAAATACATAAGAATTGTGTGGTATGTATGTAAATGATCCTTTATTATATTCTTCCTTTCCACAACTAAATTAGGAGGAGTTCAAATCCATTAATGATGACCTTCATTACAGCATGATGAGGTCCATTTTAACTCAAACTACTGCTCCATGAACACCAACAAATACATTAAATTGGGATAATATTATAATCCTTCACACAAGAAGCTTCAAATAGCTTTACATAGAAGTAGTTTTACATGAAAATTAAATTGACAAGTTGTAAAATTGATATTGACAGAAAAGACAAATGTGCGCAGAAAGTACCGCTGTCAAAAATATGCATTACTAGTGATGTGTGCAAGATAATTCACGATGATAGTGTTTGATTAACGTATTGACATTGCAAAAGAACTCAACAAACATTCAGATAATATAAATGATGGGTAAAAACAACAAAAGATTTTTACGTAGAAAACTCAGAAAGGGAAAAAAGCATGGGGCCTAACTCAGTTGAAGAAATTCACTATAAGTTGGTGATTACAAATATAGCTCTCTGTCCCACAGACAGGAAAGAGTCACATAGTCTCCCTAGCTACAATGTGAGTGTGCAGATGAACTTGCGCACTGCGGTAGGGAGGATTGCAGCGAAGTGTAATAGTTAGGGCTTCAATGCATCATTTTTAGGGTTGGCGCGACGTTCGTGGTGATGCCCTACTTCATCGCAAAAAGCGGGTGACGGCTAATGGTGATCGACGACGGCGGGCGAGCGATTGTCGACGGTGATTAGTGTTTACAAAAGCAAGAGGTGTTCGTCGAATCGTCGGTGTAGAAGTGGTGTTGGGCTTCAGTTCTTTCTCCAAGCTTCAGTCATCTTCAAGCTTCAAGATATCTCTCACTTTTTCAAGAGAGTAATATAACTCCATTTATAGAGTCCAGACTGCAACTAATGAAGAAATTTGAAACACTCTAATCGAAATATCAAATGACCCAGAGAGATTTCCCCGATCAGACGGTGTTTGATGGACAATTAAGTGTCTTAGCGATATCAAAATTGGGCAATTTTGGACTCGTTGGATTCGGCTTGTTGAGACGCTCGATTCGACTATAAGCTCACCTAATTTAGCATCTGTTTGACCTACGAATTATACCCGAAAAAGCTTTCAAAGGCGGTTTAATGGCTTGATCGGGATTTGATTTGGTTCGGATTTGACCAATTTTGGTACCAATGGGTCTGTCCAATCGAGCCTCTCAGTTTGACTGTAAGTTTGCTAAAATTAGAGCTTTGAATAAATTTTAATCGAAGTTTGAACATTTTTTGCTCAAAAAATAGCCCCGAGATCCATGTGATGCCTCGAGATTTGTGTCAGATGATACGAATTTGTTGATAGTGTATTAATTAGTATGCAAGAAGTAAGCTGAAATGAGAGAACCATAGCAATTTCTCTATTATTTATTCAAATCCAAAGATTAATACAATTACTAGGTTTAGCTTTATATATTTTCCTCTAATAATTCTAAGAAAAGCATGAGGTCTTAACTCAATTCCATGCATCATTTTGCAGAAGTTTTGGCCAGATCACCTTAGTTCTATCCCTTTTTATTCCTATCCATTAACATTGATACCATTTACCCACCTTACTAGTGCATTTTCTACTTTTCCATATGCCCATACCATAAAATCAATTTTAGCTAGCATCGATTCTCTCTACATCCTTTTGAATTCCAATTGGAGTCAAATCATCATCGTTCAACTTCTAAGCAGTAAAACAAAGAGAAACACATAGTTAGCTATTCTAACAGAAATTCTATAAAACTAGACTTGGGCTAATATTCTTTTATAACATAAAACACATGAGACAATTCTTCACTTTATCTGCTCATATCTAACTATTCAAGTTATGCCTTTATATATAACCTTATCCTTTTTCATAACGAATTTGATCCGATCAACCTAAGAATTGCTTTGAGCTCTGTATGAATGTCCTTTCTCAGGCAAAATTACATTTTTTTTTTCAGTTAATTTGGTAATTAAAAAATTATCTTTCTCAGGCAAAATTACATTTTTTTTTTTTTCAGTTAATTTGGTAATTAAAAAATTATCTATTCCAATAAATGAAAAAAGGGCATTTACAAACAGAGCACACAATTCTTATGTATTTACATATCTCACAACCAAGCTTTCATATTTACACACATAGAACTTAAATCTTTAATATCACAACAAAAATAGCACTAATATCACTTTTTAAAAGTGAAAAACACATTTTCATGCATGGATTTAAAGCACCAAAGTGTTATTGTTGTATATATGAAAATTTAGGTGTGAAATATGTAAATACGTAAGAATTGTGTGCTAGCTATGTAGATTTTCAAAGAAACAATCATTTTGTTTAATTAAGCTCATGAAATAGGCAAAATGTATTTTTAAACTTAATAACGTGCAAAATTATTGGCAAAAAACATAAATTTGAAGAACTACCTCTAAAAATGATGCATTTGCAGGATCATTAAACCTCCTCAAGGGACCATCATCAACGGTGAAACCATTGCTCCAAAAGTAAATATTATGAACAACATTCTCAGGTGGTTGGGCAGCAGACGGCACAGTTTCACCTGATAGAAGTCTACCAGTACCAGTAAAATTCCTTGAGCTTGAAGAAAGATTATTTTCGAGTGGTCCTTGCAAGGCTCCCATTTGCCTAGCTTGTTCAAATAATGACTCTAAATCATGGTTACCACTGGTAGGATCTTGAACAAGCATTCCACTGTTAAAAAAAAATTACAATATTAGCACCTGAAAATTTTATGATAAATAAAAGATTAATAACTCTTGACAGGATGTACTTTTTTTAGTCTTTCAGGATGAACTTACAAAAACTGCAGCAATGGAGAAACAAAATAAAAACATGCCCCACAAAATTATGATTAAAGATAACATAAGTCAAATAAAGAACTAATAAGCAAATTAGAACAATAATTGCAAACACACATATTATCTGCAATCTGCATGGACATGTTGCCTTCACATACAAATTTCAAACATGTAGCACCTTCTTGAAAGATAACAAGTGGTCAAAATAAAGAATAAAGGCAACATCCCCAGCACATAATTTTTGTTACTGCGAAATAGAGTCAAATCTTCCAAAAAATAAAACGGCCGCACACTTCTCCCGAATCAAATCCTAGGTCCTGCATATTCCGAAATCTACAGATCCTGATGAACCCTCAGATTAAGAAAAAAAACACACACACACACACAATCAATTAAGCTAAACAAGTAGATCCACTCAAGCTAAACCCTAGGTGTTGCTCATGTCGTCGACTTACAAGTTTTACTAAATCCTGCTTCTACATGTAGCCAAACAGCCCCGAAGGGTTAGTCCCACCTCTTCTCACCGCCCGTGTAGTACTCCTGCGGCTCATCAGAGTCGCTCCCGGATCCTCGGCCGGAACTCCTGCGATTAAGATCCGCGAGCGTGCGTATACCGGGGCCGCTGCCCGACGGCCTGCTTTCCGGCTTCTTATCGCTCGGGCTGCTCATGGAGGCAGGCGATCGTTCCCTTAACAAAGGATCTTGAGGCTCCGAAGAGGCGGGGGCTGCTAGGGCACGGGAATCGGTGGTTAATAAGGTTCTGGGGAGGCTCGGCTCCTGTTCAAAAGGCTCGACTTCTCCTCCGGCGCTGTTCTCGAAGTAGGAGTGGAGAGCAGATTCGAGAAGCCAGCCGTGGCTCTCGAGGAAGAAGATGGCTTCTTCGCGCGAGGAGGAAGTGATTCCGCAAAACGACTCCACAAGATCTCCCTCTTTCCCACCGCCCCTCGCCTCCATATCACTTTCTTCAGTCTCTCCACGTCCTCCATCCTATTTAGTGTAATTTACTTGTTATTGCATACTTGTTCTTTTCAGCGCAAGCTGCTTATCCTGAAACGCGGCCCGAGGGCCGGCCGCACCTATATAAAAAATACTAAATCTCAGATCTGCAGATCGCACAAAGTTAATCATCCAATTAATTTTCTTGATTTTAGTATCATTGATTATTAAATAATTTTCTTATCTTTATTGCAGCTGTTGCTTTCAACAAATAAAAAAATTTGGTAAGTTAATTGTATGCACTATAACTGCTGACATAAATCTCAATATCATTGATTATTAAATAATTTTCTGATCTTTATCGTAGTTGTTGCTTTCAACAAGTAAAAAAACTTGGTAAGCTAATTGTATGCACTATAACTGCTGACATAAATCTCAAAGCAATTGTGCGGCCCAAGATAGTGATCGGATGATTCAGATATCAAACGAAAAGTGCATGATCAAAACTGTTCATTCAGCGGCTGATAGACTTGATTGGAGTGAACCAACATACTATGACATGAGATTTAATCGATGGACCACGCGTGCAGTCCCGATCGCCTAAAAGCACCTTACTAAGGGAGCTCGATCTTAGCTAGTTGACCGACCGATTTTTTTGACATCGTCAGGTGCAACTACCATTGAACTAGTCACCTCAGCCGACTAAACTAAAATGCGTCAACGAGTTGGTTACAATCATATTCAAATTCAAGTTGTAATACATTTTTGATATAAAATCAACACAATTAATCACATTAAAGATAATTTTCATAACCGTTCCCTCATTTATGTAATTGTACAGATAAACCTCTATAAATAAGAGGCGGAAAGACGAATAAACGTGTATTTTTCTCGGTTTCTCTAGTAAGATTGAGCTAATTATTTCCTGACTCTCTCTCTCTTTTCTTCTCTTGGCTCTAATTCTTGAGAGGTGCTCATAAAAGAAAACTTAGGACCCAATAATGATATTTTTTTTGTGATGTTAAAAATTTGAGCGCTATGGATATGAAAATAAAAATTAGCTGTTAGTTATAGAAATGAATAAACTTTATCTGCTAGTTTTTTTAAGGTATAATGTCTCCCACAAATATTTTTTTTTTATCCCACTGGTTTCTTTTCAGATTTAAGACGACCAATGATTTTTTCATCCCATTATATATCTATATATATATGAATTTAATGCAAACCACTAAATTTTTTTGACCCACGAATTTATTAATATAATGCATATTTTAAAATTTCCCGTCCCCTTATTTTTTGAAGATTTAATACATAACACTATATATTCTTGTTCTGCAAGTTAATAATAATTGCTCATGGCTTATATAAATAAACTTGATGGTATTAGAAAATAAAAATATTACAATTAAAAAAAAAAAACATGAGTTAGAAATGTTTAGAAGGAATTTCTTTAATTTATGCCGATTATTAACGTTTTGTTGGGCAAAGCTCCTTTAAAAGTCACGTCAAATCATGATAAAAAAACGGTGAAAAATTATCGTTCATAGGAAACAACTTTGAGAGACGCTGTTTCACCAAACCAAAGCATTTTCCGCATCGCGTTCACTGCAACGGAACGAAACTTCACTGACTTTTTAAACAAAGCCTAAGTATCTGAAAGAAAAATCCTAATTCCACAACAATAAGGATAAATATAACTAAATGATCAGAGATTATAATTAAATTATTAGATAATTACCCCTAAACATTTACAAGAATTACATGAAATGAGAGGAAAACAAACTATAAACTCTCCCTTTGCAAAAGAACTCACCACCTTCATCCTTCTTCATCCCTCATCACCTACCCCCTCTTCTCTGCTCTCAATCCCTAAAGTGTTGAGTCGAGTACCAGGAAGCGGGAAGTTCAGATTGGTGATGGGAATCAGAGCACTGATGGAAGCCTCTGAAGATTCTTCGGCCGCCATTAATGGCAGGCGCTTGAGCCGGGAGAGCGGTGGCAGACGATTCGGCCTTTGCTCCATCCAGGAAAATGGAAGGACTGAGAAACATTATCCCGGAGAAATGAATATGCCGCCTTTGCCACAGGTAATGCCCTAGCTGCTGCACTCTTCTCCATCGCTCCTCGCCTGTATTTCACAGAGATTGTTGCCATGAGTGATACAATGCGTGTTATTCATGATAGGATTAAACTCGGTTGTGTTGTTATGAAATTGATGCGCGATGAACGGAAAAGAAGTGGGGGATTTACATTGATTACCACTCAATTTACATGTATTTACGTATATAGCATTTAAACTTCGAATTTTTACATCTATACCAACTTAATCTCCTATATTACATTAAAAGTACCACCATTTTAACTTTTAAAAAGTGAAATACATATTTTCATGCATAGCTAAGGTGGTATGCCATTTAAAAATTGAAGTTTGGGTTTAAATACGTAGGAATTAAGCGGTATGTATGTAAGAATGTAAATCTTCCAAGAAGCAAAGCATAAGTGGTTTTAGTACAAAGGAAGGGTGAGGTGAAAAATATTAGGAAAATTTACATACCCAGCGCATAATTCTTATATATTGACACATCCCACACCTAAACTTTCATATTTACGTATATAGCCCTCTCGTGCTTTAAATCTATGCATGAAATGGTGTATTTCACTTTAAAAAAATGATAATAATAATATTTTTTATGTGATATTAAAGATTTGAGTGCTATGTGTGTAAATATGTAAGTTTAGGGATGAGATATGTAAATACATAAGAATTGAGTGCCATGCATGTAAGTGCCCTAAGATATTATTAATGGCTTCAAGAAGAACCGAGACAAAGGGATAGAAACTTACGTCACCACAACTGTAGCCAGATGAGGAAGATCTTCTCCAATGTGAAATCTTTTATGAATGTCATGAAGCCAAACAGATATCGCTGTAAGAGCACCACCGACAGACATCCTGTGCAATTAATTAAATTATGAGTGGAGTAAATGCTTAAAAGTAGTCCCATAGGCTTTTTAAAAGGTGTTTAACTAAGTCCTAAATTTTCAAGAGTTTTCAATTTAATTCCTAAAACTGAATCAATTTGGTTATACATACATACATACCACTAAATATTTATGTATTTACATATCTAACACCTAAACTTCAATTTTTACATATGTGCCCCTTTACCCGTGTATGAAAAAGGTGTATTTCACTTTTTAAAAGTCGAAAAGTGATATTTTTGATGCAATATGGATGCTTTGAATGTAAAAAAATGAAGTTTAGGTGTTAGTTATGTAAATACGTAGGATTTGGATGGTATGTATGTACGTGTTCCCTTAAAAAAAGTTCAAAATGTTATCATGAACAACATAGTTGACGCTTTGACCAAATTGATTTGAGATTTAATGAGTTGTTGATAACAATTCTAGGGATTACTTTGATCATTTACGCATTAAATTATATTCACACCATGTTCAAAAATCTAAATATGCGATTCTAGCAACAAAACCCGCTAAAAGAACTATAAAAATAAGGGGCATTTACATACATACCACCCAATTGCCATGTATTTACATATCTAACACCTAAACTTTACCCTTTACATTTACACCAACCAAATCTTTCTTATCACATAAAAAATATATCTTTTCATTAATAGATATGATTGCACATATGTAAAACTTGAAGTTCAGGTGTTACATATGTAAATACTCAGGACTCCAGTGGTATGCATGTAAATGCCCCTACAAATAAATACCTATGCACATCAACTGACCACACGAGTTTGCTCCGACGAAAAAGCTCCGGGAAGAGTCCTCTTCTCGTCCCTTCGTTAAGAACTCGTGCGGCACGCTCCTTCTGGCCAAACCACCATAGTACATCTAGAAGAGCATTATAGAATCTTAAACCCAAACTACAACCAGCAGAGTTGTACTTGTCAAAAACATAGTCCACCATTTGCCAATTAGATTCATCATCATAATCCCCCTTGATCATGGAGCTGATCACTTTATGAGTGTTAGAAGCCCTCTTTGATTTCATTTCACCCAGAAGTTCATATGCCTTGCCCCACCTGGTTGCAGGAATTCAAATAAAATTGTTTTGTAATTATGAAAGATTGTGGGAGGATAGTGCATTTTTACAGCAATATTCAAAGCCATTTGGGTAAAGAAAACTGAACATAGAGGCACATGAAAGAGAAAGAGATATAAAGGAAGATTTACATGCATGCCACTCATTTCTTATGTATTTACACATTCAACACCTAAACTCTACTATTTATATTTATATCACCAAAATCATCCAAATCACATAAAAAATACCATCATTTTAACTTACAAAAAAGTGAAATACATCTTTTAATGCATAGAAAATGTGGCATATATGTAAAAATTGAAGTTTAGGAGTTAGTATGTAAATACATAAGAATTGAGTGATATGTATGTAAATCTTACTATAATTTATAATCAAAGGAATGAATGCGACCCATGAAATCATTTCTATTAATCAAAGGGCAGAATCAATCATTTTGTTGTGCTGAGTTCCATTTTATTTTTAAATGTTCAAATGAGGGTGGAAGAGAGGATAAACACTGCACTTTGCATTTCAACTAGTACGTTTTTCCATCTAACAGAAAGTATGAAATGGATTAGGCAGATTTATTACATAAGTGTTTTAAGAATTTATTAATTAAGCCAATAAATGGCATATATGTAAAATACAAAAGATGTTTTGAAAAGAATAAAGGATTTGATTAGAATTGCAATACTCTTCTAAAAGCATGGCCTTTCATTTTCCCTCTATCATAGTAGTGGGAGAGAAAATAACTTCCATTTAGGCACAATGGTTAGATGGAATTGTATGGATACAAGTTGCAAAATTAATTAAGTGATTCATGCTAGGTTGTTCATAATGCTTTTAGCATATGTTTGATCATAAATTTAATTGACTCAGGATATTTTACATGCCTATAACATTTAAAACTAATTAGCTATCAATTAAATAGTAAAAATAATCACCCAAATGTTTGATAAATTTAATTGACTCGGGATATTTTACATGCCTATAAAATTTAAAACTTATTAGCTATCAATTAAATAGTAAAAATAATCACCCAATATCTATCTTATGATTATTAACACTCTAATAATCTTAGTTGCACTAATAATTCTACATTAAAACTTGTCGGCACTATTTTTGGTATGGGATTCATTAATAAAAGTTAAAAGTTAACAAAGAAATCTAATCAACTAATAAAAATAATCAACCAATGTTTGAATTAGTGTATAGCCATTTTCGTATTTACAACTTGCTTATTAAGAGGCAAAAATTATGACTTAATAAGTTAATTATGACGTACTAATCCATGTATGATTTTCTAAGACAAAACTAATTAATAAATATTCAATAAATTAACTCAAATGACCTTTCTAAGAATTTTAATCATGTAGTCGTAAGCAATAGTAAAACAATATAATCACTCCCTTAGTTAGAGTTCTAACTTTAATTGAACACTAACAACATAGTCAGCAGCATAATAGCTATTCCATCCCGTAATCATTATCGATTAATGCATAAAATGTTCTAGGCCACTCAACCTTGTTTGACATTTTGAGCAACAAATTTGAAAATTAACCTAATTAGCAGCATAATTGCAAATCCCTTAAATCAATCTTGAGTAACCTATTAAACCTTACATTTGCTACAAATCAATTCATAATTGAAATGGCCAAGTCACTGATTTACAGATTAGCTTGCAAATATTGATGTATCAATAGATTTGCATTTATTTTTTCAATCAAGATTTACTAAACGCAGCTTCCAATAAAATAATCTTAAATGCCACCAAAGATAGACTACATAAGAACAAATTTCTTGGCTACATTGATGCAGATGAAAAATCATACTAAACAAAATTACCTGTCATTCTTAGCCAACACAGACAGCAACAAGCAATGTTCTATAACACCAGGCATGATTCCAGCTGA